CTATTAATAAACCCTAAGCCGTAACAAAGGGCTCCAAATGTGGCCTCTGCAATGCACATCAAAAGTACAAACAGGGACACCATCCATGCGCAACATGGCACTGTTAGTACTCTGATATTTTTCGGCTGTTGATGGAATTAGCCTCTCTGAGAGCTACCACAGAGTTCGGGAAACCTGACTACCAGCCGGCCTCAAAACCATAAAACTGAGTTTTAGAGCTGTACCCTCATTAGGAGATTATAGAATGAGTTGCCCAGTCATAAGAATAGAGACACAAGCAATACCCACGCATTGAGTCAAGAAGATCCAGCGTTCAACATCCAAAACTGGAAACAATGTATTAATAATACATCTGCGCCAGCCTAATAGATGAGGAAGGGGTGCGAGGCTGGTCAACAGATAGAATCTGTTTATCCCTTAAGTCTTTGCCTAGGAGGCCTTCTACAAGACAGCAGCTGGATGCATGTAACATCTGCCCAAGATGAGTATTTTTATCGAGACACCATCTCTAGCCTTTACTCAACCAAGAGCCCCAAGGCAGGGGGTGTTTTAATTCAGAGTTAACTTCTTCTAGCCTTTGCCTAAAAAAGCGTATCCTACAAGGCAGCAGGACATGGAGCAGGTTGTACTGGGTTACATGTTACCAGTAGCAGGAAAACCTGACCTGACCTTAGATGGCCAATTATATACAGAATGGCCAATGGCCAATTGTATACAGAATAATATATGTATATATTATTCTGAATAATATATAATATGTATATATTATTCAGAATAATATATAATACAAAATATGGCCAATTATATACAGAAAAGTTGGTCTATATATATATAATGATTGGTCTACGTCAACAATCAAATAAATTAATTTTATTCAAAGGTTTATAGCATATATATATATATATATATATATATATATATATATATATATATATATATATATATATATATATATATATATGAAAATATTATAAATAAAAATACTAAATTAAGTTTTATTATCTGTTACTTTTCTTGATTTGTTGTTTATATTGAAAAACTTGCTTTTCAAAGGAAAGATATTCTTTATATACCTGAATACCTATAAAGCTTTTTGTGTTGAAAACCTTACTAGATTATAACATAACATTGAATTAAATTTATTTAATTGACGGTAAATCAATTATAGAATAAAGTAATAATGATTTTAATGATAACAAGAAGTATTTAACCATAAATAAAATTCTAACATTTCTAGAAGGAACCTCTAAGTTGTGTCACACAGAACTTAGTTAATAGTCAAGACAGTTTTATAAAATGTTTCATTACAAGTTTTAACTCTGTTTACCTTGCAGATATGTTATAAAACCTCCTAGCATTACTGCAGAGGGTAATTAATGACTAACAGGTGCATAAAATGTTAATAGATTAAAGATTAAAATCCAACTAAAGCTAAGATTTTAGCTGAATGTTAAATTTTAAAATCATTCAAACTTAAATTTTAAAATAAAAAAAATGAAATAAGTATGATTTTGAAATGTTTAAAAAAACAATGCATGTTTACATAATTATTAAATTTTAAATCAAAATAAAAATAACATCAAATTTTTCAGATATCTGTGTATCGATTTTTTATTGATTACATTTTTAAACAATTTTAAGCTTCATATTTGTTTTGTTTTGATTAATAGCGTCAAGATTTTGCCCCCCATAATGGCCGATTTTTGCTTCACTTTTTCTTAAACCGATTTACGGGAGTTAGACATAGTTATTCTTAATATATCATTGAGTAAGGAGGTTTAAATAAAATGTTTTCATTAAGAACATGACTTAAAATTTTAATTCTATATAAAATAAATCATTTTTATCAACTTAATTATTTTAAAAAATAATAAAAGTTAAAATTACCTATTTTAGGATAATAAAGTAATTTAAAGTTTCATAGCATTTTTACAACGCCTTCGCTAAATATTCAAAACCAAGTGCTAAATGATGGAAGTTAGATAACTATGAAAATAGTACCTAACATATTTAATTAGGTAAATCTAGGCATCTTACACCGTAAAGAGACGATTTTCTTTCTAAATTTTATTAGTAGTAAATTCAGAATTTTTCATTCCGAAAAAATATACGTGGTAATAAGCTCTTAGTATATGGAAAAGATGCATATGTAAACTTTTATTTTTGCTCATAATCTATTGTTCACTAAAAAAATATTAGGAGAAATATAGACAAAGTTAATGTGGAATAGAGTCTCTCAGTTTATGAGAAAAACAAACTATTTTATAAATCTCTTATAAGATCCACTTATATAAGATACTTTTATAAGATCCGTATACGGAAAAGATGCGCATGTTAATTTTTTTTTGCTAATTCTGTCTGAAACCGTGCTTAAAGAAATTTTTTAGAAATATTTAGATTATTTTATTTTACCAAATAATATTAAAGTTAAGATAGATTTGTTGGAATAAATTAGTATAGAAATTGTCGCTTTGGTAAAAACCCGTATTTTACTGGTTAGGAAAATTAGGACATACGCATAAAGAAAAAGAATAGAAAAAGTCAGTGCGGAATAAACTTACAAAGACCCGTGTTTTTACGGGTCCGGTCAGGTGAAACTTTTTACACGTTTCAATCAGGTATTTAGATAGGTATCTAATTGGAGATTTACGCAACGTAAAGTTACTGTAACATTTAAAGTTTATTAAGGTTAATTATAATAGCAATTTTTATTTTTCATTGATTTAAGAAGGAAACAACAATGATAGTTTTTCTACATGTATATAGCTTTTTTTCTACAACTCACTACAAAACATTGAAATAAGGAATAAGTATAGAAAAAGACGATGTGGAATAAATTTATAATTTATGTGGAATAAATTTGGAAAAAGGCGATGTGGAATAAATTTACCAAGACCGTGTTTTAAGGGTCAGTATATCTATAAAATGAGAAAACTTTATAATTTTATTTAAAATTTTAAAAATCTTTTTTGCTAAATTGTTATTTTTTTGTTATAAGTATATAAGCATTATTAAAAATGTATAAAAAATGTCAAAGTTTATTACGCTGAAGAAAAGTCTTAAACCCCCTAAAACAAAACTGAAGACAGCGCACTTAACTACTGAGCTATCAAATGAAATGCATTTAGTAGAAAATTAAATCTAATTATAAGTCTTTTATAAGCTCTATATATGCGGAAAAGGTGCACATGTTAAGTTTTTTACTCTTGAATGTTTTTTTCAGAATAAATTGTTTTACTAAAAAATATTGAATTAAATAAGGAATAGGTATATAAATAATCAGTGCAGAATAGATATGGATAAAAATGTTAGGCTTAGTTAAGGCCCGTATTTTACGGATCCGGAATGCTTGGATGTATAGGGAAAAAGTAAAGAAAAGTTCGGTTTGGAATAGACTTACAAAGACCCGTATTTTTAAGGGTCCGATCTCAGCTAGTATTAATTAATATAAAAACATTATTTTTTCAATATATACAGCCAGATAAAAATATATTGAAAACTAAAGATTTTTTTTTTTTAATTCATGTATATATATATATATATATATATATATATATATATATATATATATATATATATAATATATATATATATATATATATATATATATATATATATATATATATATATATATATATATATATTATCTTATTCTAAACATTGCCCATAATATTTAATCTGTAACAATTATAATGTTAAGTGTCCCTAAAATGGACTATATTATCAAAAAGCACTGTATTATCAAAAAAGGATATATATATATATATATATATATATATATATATATATATATATATATATATATATATATATATATATATATATATATATATATATATATATATATATATATATATATATATATATATATATATATATATTCAGCCTCAGAAGTATAAGAAATTAGTATAAGAAATAAGTATAAGAAATAGCCTCAGATGTATAAGAAATTCTTTTAAATCTTATTCAGCACACAAAAACTGATAACAACAAAAAATATAAAATAGATGACTATGAATCACTTATTTTCAACTTTAGAAACAAATACATTGGATCCGATGAAAACACAGATCCAGGTATTAATTATTTTAATGACTTAAAAGTAGATTTTTTTTATCATTATGCTAGTGAGTTAAAAGAATTTCTTTCTAAAATTGGCGATGAAAACAAAAAAATTAGAATTGTCCACATAAATATAAGAAGTATGAACAAAAATTTTGAAAATCTTCGACATTTTATAGAAGAAACTAAAAACTATTTTGATATTATTTGCTTAACGGAAACTTGGTGTTCACAAAATGAGCTTAATAATAACTCTAATTTCCATCTTCTTAATTTTGAAACAATTTTATTAGAAAGACAATTAAATAAACGTGGTGGAGGAATTCTGATTTAGGTAAAACAAAACATTATGCTTAACGTTAGGAATGATTTGTGCGTTTCTGGCGATAAAGAAATCGTTACAATTGAAATTTTAAACAATAAAAGCGAAAAGTTAAAAAGCAAAAGCATTCTACTATGTTGTTGTTGTAGACCACCTGGTGGTGTGTCAAAAAATTTAAGCTTATATATAAGCTTAAATTTTCTTATATATAAGCTTAAATTTTCACAACATTTTTCATAAAGGTAACAAAGAAAAGAAAAAAAACTTTGTAATTGGCGATTTAAATATGGATTGCTTACGATATCGCGAAAACAAGAAAATAAAAAAATTTTATGATGAAATATTTGTATCAGGAGCAATACCGCTTATCAACCGGTCTACTCAAATAACAGAAAACTCAACCATCCTTATAGACAATATTTTAACAAAAAATATATATGACAATGACATTCAAACAGACATTATAAAATCAGATATTTCAGACCATTTCCCCATTTTTCTAACACTTAACACAATTTCAACTCCTAACATTAGTAAAAGTCAAACTATAAGAAAACGTATTTTTAACAAAAAAAATTTAGAAGCATTTAAATATCAATTACCATTGTTAAACTGGAAGCATATAAATTTTAATGAAGACATAAATGTAATCTATAATAAGTTCTTTAATACATTCTTCTCGGTGTACGATGCGAATTTTCCCGTTTCCGAAATAACCTTAAAACAAAAAACCTTAAGTAGTCCTTGGATTACCAAGGGTCTCAAAAAATCTTCAAAAATTAAACAAAAATTGTATATAAAATATTTAAAAACAAAATCACATGCTAATTTACGCATATATAGAAATTACAAAACTCTATTTTAAAAAATTCGCAAAAACCTAAAAAAAAATTATTACTCTAATCTAATCACTAAATATATAGATGACTCAAAACAAATATGGAAAAAATATGGAAAATATTGAAAGAAATAACGGGAAAACAGAAAACCTGTTCAAAGTTCCTTCCGAAAATGGTTAAGATAAACAATGTATGTGTATATGAACCAAATGAAATAGCGAAAGAATTTAATAAATACTTTACTGATATCGGAAGTAGGTTGGCTGATAGGATTCCATCTACAAATATTTCCTTTAATGATTTTTTGACAACTTCAAATAATTTACTTTCTTCCCATGACTTATTCTTAGACTTATCGATTGAAGAGTTTGAAAGAGCCTTCAAATCCTTAAAAAAAAACAAAGCAACCGATGCGGATGGAATAAACGGGAACATTATTATAGATTGCTATGAAAGTTTGAAAAATATTTTATTTAAAGTTTTCCAAACATCTATACAACAAGGGGTTTTCCCTGATCTATTAAAAATTGCCGATTTATAAAGAAGGAGAAAAATCAAACGTAAATAATTATCGCCCTATTTCTATCCTTCCTACTTTTTCAAAAATATTAGAAAAAATTATCTTCGAAAAAACATACAACTACCTGGTTTCAAATAATTTACTATATAAAAATCAGTTCGGCTTTAAAAAAATAGTTCAACTGAATAAGCCATTATTCAATTTACACGTGAAGACTCAAACTCTTTTGCTAAATCACAATATGCACTTGGTGTTTTTGTCGATTTATCAAAGGCTTTTGATACAGTCAATCATGATATCTTACTTAAAAAACTTGAGTTCTACGGAATAACTGGTAAAATGATCAAATGGTATAAAAGCTACTTGTCAAATAGAAAGCAATTCGTCTACCACGGAGAAGAATTGCTTCCTATTAATCTTCAAAATAAAACATTAATTGAAATAAAATGTGGTGTTCCACAGGGTTCTATCCTCGGCCCACTTCTCTTTTTAGTATACGTCAACGATTTAAATAAGGCCTCGAATCTTATAAGCATCATGTTTGCCGACGATACCAATTTATTTTTGTCAAACAAAGACATTAACAAACTTTTTTTAGATATGAATAAAGAACTTAATTAAGTTTCTAACTAGCATAAATGCAATAAATTAACCTTAAATATTGAGAATAAAAAGTGGATCCTTTTCCACTCCTCAACAAAAAAACGCTTTTTGCCTTATGATTTACCTAAACTTTATATTGACAAAGTAGAAATAAAAAAAGATTCCGTTTTAAAATTTCTATGTATTTATCTTGACTAAAATATGACATGGAAAGCTCATATTGATTATATATCAACAAAAGTTGCGAAAAGTATTGGTATCCTCTATAAGGCCAGAAATTATCTAAATAAAAATAATTTAAAACAACTATACTACTCATTTATACATAGCTATATAAACTATGCAAATATTGCCTGGGGAAGTACAGGTAAAAGTAAATTGCAACGTCTTTACCGCCATCAGAAACATGCAATGCGAATAATATATTTTTTAAATGGTTTTTCAAATACAAAACCTCTATTTAAAGATATGAATGTATTAAATGTTTATGAACTTAACTTGTACAATATTTTATGTTTTACGTTTTATTGTATGAATAACCCCTTATTTCATGTTTTTAAAGATCTATTTACCTTTAAAGTAAAGAATAAATATAGTTTGCGAAATAATAACTATTTAAAATAACCCTTTTGTCAAACAAAGTTTATTCATTTTTGTATAGATTATCGAGCACCTTATATCTGGAATAAAATTGTACAGCCTAATTTAGATTCATCTTTCTCTTTTTCTGTTTTTAAAAACAAGTTAAAGAATTTTTTTTTTTGTTTTTAAAAACAAAGTTAAAGAATTTATTTTTTTTAAAAACAAGTTAAAGAATTTTTTTTTTTTTTTTTATTTGTTTTTAAAAACAAGTTAAAGAATTTATTTTTTCTACGGATAATATATTGAAATATTTTTGAGATACTATTTTAAACATTTCTTATTTCAAATATTTTGGATTCTTATTTTGTTATAAACTACCTGTATTATACTATATTATATTTATATTATAATTTTTATATGGTTCTGGTGACAAGATCGATATGATCTTCTTCCAGATTCCAAGTTTATATGTTTATATTACATGGAAATCACGACATGTAAATAATGTAAACTGAAAAAAAAAAAAAAAAAAAAAAAAATTAGATTCTATTTCATTAGAAGATGTATTTAACATTTATCTTAAAAATTAAACAAAATCAACACCTAAATACAAAAAAACATTTAATAAAAATTAAATAAAATCATCCAGTCTCGAGGCAACAGCTTTCAGCATTCTTTGCATTAAATTTTTTTTACAAAATGCTGCTCTTGATAATTTCTTTAAGTCATCCAGTATTCTGAGCTACTACTTGAGAAGAATATTGTATTATTCTTTTTATAGCTAATATCATAAGCTAAATGATTTAAACAATGAAAGTTATAAATTAATAAATAGATGATTAGAGTAGAACACTCTGGCATTGTTCTCAAAGCAACAAAGAAGTTCATGAACATAACCTTATTCAGTCAATTAATCTTTTCTGTACAGCTTATGTTCTTATACTGAACACACTTAAACTAACAATTAAAAAATGAATATATTTTTCTTTGCTGAGTATATGATTTAAAACCACTTATCCACAATATAAAAGAAAAAGTAACAATATAAAAGAAAAAAAATATATTTTAGACTTGGTTTTACAACAAGGTTTACAATTAAATTCTATATAAATGTGTTTGTTTAAGGAATATAAATAAACAGGTAATTAATTTGCCCAGATGACAATTAAAGAAGCAGCCCTTTTCCCAGATAAAATGTATATTTTTAGTATAAGGTCCTCATCTTAAATTAAATTGAGAGGGAACTGCTGCACCATATCTACTTTAAGTGACTCCAAGACGCTAATATCCTTGTGATGATTTTTCTGATTTTTTTTTCCTTCGTTTTAGCAGTGAGTTCCAGTGGATATAAAAATTCATAAAAAACATATCGTAAAAAACCATTATAGGTTTATTCCACTTTACAACCACATCCATAATCTTACAATTCATAATTACTATTATAGAGATTAAGTAAGAGCTTTAGCTGGTGCATCACAAATTAAAATATTCTACCTTTTACTTGTATGACTTTTCCATTATTATAAACAATGTCATTTGCCATGAGGTGTCTTCCATAAAGTATGGATGCAGGTATGGGAGGAGAAGTTTACCCAAAAATCTATGAATGCGTACAAGAGAGAGAGGTTAGAGACAACAAGTATGTACGTGGTGTGACTAATTATCATTCTCTATCTATTTGAAAAATTGATTTCTTTTTTTATTAACATAAGCAAAGAGTTTCTTGAGTTTAAAATTTATTGTTCTGTTAAGTAACAAAATAAAAAATTCTTTTATGAGTGATATCAAAATAAATAAAAAAGTTTTTTTTTTTTAATTCTTTAAAAAAATTATGCGTTGGAAAAAGGTTGGGGGAAAAAGGTTGATTTTGTAATAATAAATATGCATGCAGTGGGAGGGAGAAGGGGCATAAAAACCCAGATGTGTACAATGGGAAGGGGTTCCTTAACCAGTGATTTTACTGCATGCATACTTTATGTATGTCCTACTAAGATTTCCCCGTGAAGTCTTTCAAGTTTTCTAAACTAGCTGACATCTGTAACCCACAAAACAACGTCACAACAAATGGAACGGTTTCACAAATATTTTCAATATGACACTAGATTGGCCACAGAAACGTGTTTGCACTTTTATGAATTTATGGATTGGCGGTCTGTCAATGGTTAAAGACTAACTTCACAAAGTCTATAGCATTGCTTAGATCTCAAAATACCATCTTTAATTTTTTTATTACTATCTTTTATCAAAATATCATCTTTTATCTTAAAATATGTACTAGGGGTATCAAAATATCATCTTTTATCTTAAAATACTCACTAGGGGTGTTCATTTTTCATCAAATTTGTTTTTTCAACATGTATGCAGGCTTAAAAGATGGGCAATTACAATTTATTTCAAAATATATTTATTATTTTTCAAAAAAATGATTTTAACACCTTGAGCCAACTTACGCCATTTTTTTCAAATTTTGAAATTCTTACTAGTTATCAAATATCTAAAGACCTGATTGTGCTACAGACATGTATACAACATATTTTATAGTTAACCATGTCTACTTGATGTGTGGAAAAAATTGAGTTCTTATATCTATTGGATCACCTTGCGCCAAATGATTTTTCAAATTAAAGCAAAAAAAATATAGGCAAATCAATCAACCGCTAAAAAGTGCAGATTTTGGCGCGAGTTGTTGTGACTTGATGTGATGTAAAAATAAAATGCAAATTACTTAATAATATTTATACTGGATTTATAATACATATTTTTGACCTTTTTAAAGACTAGCTTGTCAACCGCCCCCCTCCTTTTTAATTCAGCTCGGCAGCCCCCCACCCCCTCTCCTTAGGAGTTGGGCCCCTCATTCTGTTTAAACCCAATGAGCCAAACTTGTTCTTCTTAGGTAATGTTTTATTAATTTAGAATATTTACATTTTTATGACAAATATTTAAATCAAAGTGGAAGTAAACCTTACTACTATAATTTTTTTGTAAAAAATGTTTCAAAAAATGAATTAGATTTTTAGCTTCATTCTCGGCCCATAGACTCTCCCAAAAATCAATATCTTTTACAATGCTGCTGCCGAATTCGCTATCACTGAATAGAGACAACTCTGTTGGCTCAAAAACTACTTGCTCATAAATGATACCAAGCTTCTCTGCTGGAGTTAGCTGTTCGGCAGCCTTCTTGTATGCTGCTTTAGTTTGAGAAACTGGTTTATCAGTTTTACTCTTGGCTAAAAGCATCTTTTTCAATTTCTTTTCGTTATATGTCATTTGCAATGCTTCTTGAACTGTCTTTACAGCTTTCTCTGCCACATCATTTACAACCGCCAAATTTTAAACAAAAGTTTTAAAAGCTAAGAAATCAGGGTCAGCTTTCCATGCAGCAGAAAGGAACAAAAGCCATTTAACTTGCCACTCATTATGTTCAAGAGTATCAAAAATTAACCAATACTCAGAACCAACATAATCTGCAAGAGTAGGCGGTTCTTCGAACAAGACAAACTCTGCCTAACTTCTTATAAACCTAGTATTATTTTTTTTTTCAAAATTATAGGCCTTGGGTCTACGATATTGCAACAGCTTTTTGCTATCTCTTCTTTTGTGCTATTTGGTACAGATTTGTCTGTATTCGCAAGGGAAAAGATAATTGTTGTAGGATCTAAGTACCAACTATGTTTTCC